TTCATTTGGGTACCCACATGCATTTTTGATATATTTTTTATGTATACATGTATATGATATATATGTAATATATATAAATATATGAAAAATTGATGTGGGTACTCAAATGAAAGGTCTCGATGAGTGTAACATCGAGATGAGCTTATATCTTTAAAAATGTCAATAGTTCACTAGATACAAGCTAATTTCTTAATTATGTATCTAGAGATAGACACTAAATTTCACTAAAAAAACCTCTTTTATCATATGACTATCCTAGACACAAAATTTTTCTTATTCTCTTAATAATATAAATAACAATTTAAGAAGTTAACACAAAATTACTTAAAACTAAGTCTCGTTTACTACCTGATTTTTTTATCCTAGACAAAGCTATCATTTAGAAGATTAATTTTTTTGTCATTATATTATAATAGGTATGATAATTTTGATTATCATATAATTGAAAAAAAAATATTTTACTCTACTTTTAGTAAAAATTGAAACAATAAAGCAGACATAACAATTTTCCAAAAAATTCATTTTCTTTATCAAAAAATTCCCAGCAATAATAATAAAAATAACTTTAATAATAATCTTTTTGATGACACCCGGTCAATATTTGGCGAACTAAAAAATTTTACTTTGATTATGATTAAAATTGAAAATAAAAACTACTTTACAACTTAATTAAAAAGTCATTAAAAAGGTTTTTACATAAATAAGTAAAGAGTAATAAAACATCCACCTTAAAACATTAATTAAAGATTTAAATTTCTATTGACTTAAAGACTTAACTCAATTGAAAGTTAGACTCGTAAAAACTTCAGGTCGACAGATTTTTTTATTTTTCCCATTTACGCCCACGCGAGTAACATATAAAGAAGCAATTTAAAATAACTGCAGATAAAAAAAACCCTCTTTAGTTTATGAATTTACGTAATTATTTCTATATATACACTTAACCAAATAAATTTTAACGCGTACAAATATAGTAAAGAGCAATAAATAACCCAAAGCAGGCATCAAACACGTGCGATTATTAAACGATAAAAATAATGTATATCTATATATATAATGTGTAATTAATTAGTTATGCAGTAAATACGTGAAAGTACATTAAAATAATACATTATCGCAACTGGTTCCGTTGACATTTTACGCTTATTATTTGTTATACAAATAGTGTTTGTGTAAACAACAAATTTGCTACAATATGATATTTGATGTGAAATAAACCGACGTTACCGTCATACATACAACAAATAAAGTCAAATTGGCAATTTAATTCAGCCCTAGATACTCAAGAGTAGAGTTAACAATTTATTATTGACCGTAGGAATCATTTATTGCTTTTACTCTCACGCGCTTTTGTTCTCCGTCCTTCCATGGGATTTTATTCAATCAAATATATCCATCTGTCTATCAATCATTTTTAGCTATAGCCAAACGATAGTAATGGCTTATTCCTATATTAATAATAATAAAAAGCAAATTTATTCTGGACAAATAGGCCATATTTATTTACCGATGTCGCATTTGTCTCCGATGAGCCCTGCGCTGCAGTTTGACAGAGGGATACACTTCTCGGTGTAATAGTTATCGATTTTGTATTTTTGTTTGGTGTATCCCTCACAGCACTCGGTTATATTTCGTTGCTTTACTTCACTCTGGAAAAAATTTTTATTATTTTTATTTATTAATTAATTATCTGAATAATGATTATTATTATTAGAACAAGAATAATAATAGTAAAAATCCGCTATAATAATTACTATTACAATGACTCATTATTACTTTAGAATTTTAAGAAAAATTTACATAAATCCAAAAAAGAATATTATGCACAGATATATACATTAAAAGCAATAATACACAGAAAGAAAAATTTCTTGACTGGAGAACAAAATTCTTGGCTCAAGAAAATTTTCGGGTGTCTGAAGGAAGACCGAAGTTGTGTTGGCCGAAGTAAAAATTTTTCGAGAAATTCTATTCTTGGTAGAAGTCATTTTTTCTTAATTCAAATTATCATAAATACTTGATACAATAAATTTTTATATTTAATCAAAATTTTTAGATACTATAGGGAAGCAGCGCCACTTACTTCACCTGAGAAAAAAATTTTCTCACCTTGAGAAAATTTTTCTCTTGAATATTTGCTACCCATTTTATAACACTTAAAAAAAATTTTTCAGCTATTAAAAGTTTACTTTAAAATTTCTTGACTTTAGATAAAATTCAAAGACCTACTAAAAAAATCAATATTAAATTTTTAAATTATCCCTTAAAAAAAAACTTTTATAATAATTTTAAATACTCTCAATATGTTTATATAGACCTGTATATACTCTTACATGTACTTTATATTACTTATTTTTGTATTTTTGCCATTTGGCTGATGCTTTGGCATTTAAATCGAATAAATAAAATAAAAAAAAAAAAAATTACTATAAAAAAACTGCATGAACTTTTTGTCAATCTTTTACAAATTTTTATTTGATTGAAAAATTAAATTTAGTTGAATAAAGTATCTATAACTCTTAAAAATACAACAAATAATTACAGAGTCAATATTAACCTTGTTTATTAATTATTATATATCATTAGTTTGAAAAAATGGAAATTGCAGACGTTAAGTAATAAAAAATAATATCAACTGTCATTACAGCACAGTTGACTAGCATTGAAAGGATAATAAATAAAAAAAAAATTATTGATTTTTAGTAACTTTCATTTCCTCATAACTCATAAGTTAGTTCAATTGCTTACGCATGTCTTCAATGTGAATATTGTTAAGTTAATTTTCTTTGTTTATTCAAAAATAATGAAAAATTTACTATAAAATTTCATGATTGTTGAAATTTTATGAAAATGAAGTTAGCCGATATCTAAAAAATTTTTAGAAATTTTTTAATGAAAAAATTTGAATTAAGCAGTTAAAAAAAAAATTGTCACATGTAAAAAACTTTACAAACTATAAGTGCAATTGTTTAGAAATGTACGTAAATATACCTGTGGGAACGAATTTTTTTTCAGTAGATCATGCACTATATTGTTGAACTACTTAAATTTTTTCCTTGTCTTTCTTAACTTAGAAGAATATTTAGAAAAACACTATCTTGGTTTAAAAAAAATTTTTGACTGAAAAGATTTTTTCGTCTCAAGATAATTATTTTCTTATTTTGAAAACAATTTAAATCCTCCTAAAAATTTCTTTAATTTAATTATTTTGCAATATTTCCTGTATACAGTTATGAGTCAATAATTTTATATCACGATTTAAAAAGACTAACAATATCATTATGATATCATTATGATTTTATAAAGATATGACCATCATTTAATTATTAATTCATTTTAATATCATTATGATTTGATAATGAAATTATGTCAATATCATCATGGAGATACTGTCCTAATGAATTTCCAACAGTTACAAAAAAGTTTTTTTCTTGAATTATGAATAGAAGGCAACAATATCATTACAATATTATGATGAATTTAAAAAAATATCAACCTGATTCCATCATAAGTTTACGCAGTTACTATTATGACTTCAGTATGAAATTATGCGTTTGTCACTATAGATTTGTCACGAATCTCCATGAGACTGATCCGTGTGGATCAAATTTTATATTTAACATTTAATAATAATTTTAAATTACTAGAAATTTGCTTTCTCCAACAAGAAAAATAAAAATTTTATAATCTAGTTAAAAAAATTCGTTTCCATAAGTATTTTACTTAATACAGGTTTCAAATATATTAATATGGCTTTTATATGAATCTCATATTAGTGCCAAAATATGAGATTCATTATGATATTCATTATGAGCCTCATAATGATATCATATCATTTTTACACGGGGTATTTATCAAAATTAAATAATCGTAATAAACTATTATATAATTCTTATACATAGCCTGATCAGATAAGTCCATGGATGGTCATAGCATAGTAGAAAATTGTTCCGTGGGTAGTTAAAATGTAAAACAGTCATTATTCTTACGCTCTCACTATTAAAATCGATATAATAAGTCTCCGTAAATTTTAAGAAATTGCAAAAACAAAATTAAAAGAAAAATCTTTTTTAAATTAGTTATTTTAAAACTTTAACACAGCGGGAAGTTCCACAGATGGCCTACAAGGTCATAATAATAAAGTTAGCCAACATTTTTCATTTTTTATTTCGCTTAATTTATAAAATTATAACTAAAAAATATTTTTAAAAAATTGCACTTACAGTTTTTGAAGTTTATAACAAGTGAAAATTTTTTTTTTTTATTTTTTTGTAATAATTCTTTAAGGTCACAGTTTTTCAGATTTAATTTTTGCAAATTCCTTAAAATATTTGTCAACAAATACTTAAAAAAAACAATTCATTGAATAATAATTAGACTAATGATAATAATTATAAAAATAATAACACTAATTCCAATAATCAGAGTAAACATAAATCATGAAAAGCCGCAGTAATAATAATCGTAATTATAAGGATTGACAAATAAAGTAAGATGTAATTTGTAAATTCTCCTTATGCTTATGTGTATGACCACTAATTTAGATTTGCAAAAAATACGCGTATTAAGATATAAATCTTACGTATAATATATAATGTATAAAATATATAATATCCGAGTACAAAGCGGTAGTACGTAATAATAACTCGGTTGGTAATCCATCTTTTTGATTATACGGTCAATACCAGCTACGTTGAAAGTTTGCCGCGCCTTTCTGTTCCTCTTTCTCTCGGAATATTTAATAAACTCACTTATCTCTATCTGTGTAACATAATAAAAAAAAAAAAAAATAAAATAAAATGAAGTCTCTTTCTCCAATCTAACCGGACCTTTTTGTTTTTTCTACGGGACTTTTATTTGCCTTTCTGTTAAAAATTTTTTCCGAGCCCACGACGTGCCGCGAATATGTAATAAGTGAAATAAATTTATAATGAGCAAAAAGTATTCGGAACCGCGAATTTTATAATTTCGTTCGAGGCAATTTATCTTAACTCATCGGCGATCGCGGGTCATTAAAAATAATTACCGATAATTAATCTTTACTTGCACAAGCTAATAGTTTTAGTAAATAATGCAAGAGTATCATATCACATCATATTATATTATATATTATAAATATGTATGCTCATATTACACATTAAATACCGATGCAAAAACGTTAATCTATCCTATATCTTCTAGTTATTTAATTATCCGCGATATTTATCGCTCACTGTCGCTTTCTCTGACGTAATTAGTCTCACCGGCTTACCCGTATACTTATTCACTTTTTATGATGAAAAGTATAAGAGAAGGACGAACAAGTTACAAGTTCCTTGCAAGGATTAAGTAGCTCGCTTCTATTTTAACAATTGACTCGCTCGTAACTATTTAACTTGATCTTTGTTCGAATTTACTGTGAATTATTCATAAATAATTATAAAGACTTGGGTTTTTTTTTTTTTGTTAATTGTTACAAAGAAAAAATTTTGCTTAGTATTATATTATTTTTTTTTAAGAGCTGTAACTTTTTATCAGAGAGTGCTTTACGATCGAAAAATTTTTTTAAGGATATAAGCTCATCCCGATGTTACACTCATCAAGAGCTTTCATTTGAGTACCCACATGCATTTTTTATATATTTTTCATATATATATTATATAATATATATAAATATATGAAAAATAGATGT